TCATTCCAGGGGAAGTCTGGAGGGAAAAGCCTCCCAGTGAAAGCTGCCTCGGCACCCACCAAGGGGCCCTCAGGGCAACGGACCACCCCAGGGCTCCCTGGGAAGGCAGGGCCTACCGTGGCCCAGGTCAAAGCTGAGGTGCAAGAAGACTCAGAGAGCAGTGAGGAGGAGTCGGACAATGAGGAGGCGGCCTCAGCTGCAGCACAGGTGAGACCTGGGAGGAGCCAAGCTGCCCCACCCACACCGTCGTCGCCTGGGATGGGGCTGAGGATGCACTTACCTAGGCTGCTCTTGCCCCAGGTATGCAGCAGCCTCAGCTCAGCCTCATTCCACACCTTCCACTCATCTCCTCTGCCCATTAGAGCTCCAGGGTCGAGCTCCAGGGTCTCCTTCATCACCTTTTGAGCTCCCACTGAGATTTCTTTTTACACAAGGTCTGTTAAGTACCTCATCTGCCAGGTGCCAACTTGTCTGGGGCTCCTTTGGCCCTGGCCCTTGGAGTTCCCAGCCTAGATGGGGGGGCGTGAACCTGTACAGATTATTTCAGTGTGGTATGATAGTAGGGTTGAGATGGAGGATGTGTGCCTAGGCTAGCAGGGCGTGGCAAATGATGGTGTCTAGAGGTTTTTCGGGAGAGAAGACCTCTTGAAGAAGTGGCATCTAAACTGTGGGCTGAAAGAGTTGGCCAGGTGATGTGGAGTGTTCCGGGCAGAGAAACCAGCCTGCGCAAAAGCCAGGGGGTGGGAGAGTGCCTGGCTTTGTGAGTTTCCCCAAGCAGAACATTCTGGTGGGATCACTAGGGGAGACCATGTGAATGGCGAATGGTGGGAGGTTTGGAGCCAGGCTGCCTGGGTTCAAGTCCTAGCTCCATGTCCTAGCAAATGAAGTAATCCATTAGGGCCTCTGTTTATTCTTTTGTAAATTGGAAATCAACCTGCACAGAGGTGAGAATTTGATGAGATCTCAGCTGCCACACCCAGCAAAGGGCCTGCACACAGCAAGTTCTCATCTGTCTCCCTGAGGGAGCAGAATCAAGAGTTGCCTTCCAGCCTGGGAGAACGGAGAGAAGTGAAGATATCTCACTCCCTGCATTCACCCACCCACCATTTATTGTTTTTAATTGTCACTCTTTTTTTCGCTAACCACTCAAATTAGTCATTTCTTGTTTCCCTGTACCAAAGCACACATTTTTATGGATTTTTTTTTTGCGGGGGGGGTCCTGATCTCACTATTATCTTGTAGGACCCAAGGTCCTATCATTCCTTTACTGAGATTTTAAAGTATTCTTGGCCTTCCCAGAGTCTCAGGTCAGTAGTCTCCTATCCTGTTTTTCCAAGCTACAGACATATTCCAGACCAATGCCTTAAAAGTTTTAGTGTGCCGATCACTTAATATCTGTCTTCCCATTTGAGCCTCCCACCTGTACCATGAGACGGTGTTCATTTACTTTGGTTTCTGGAAGAGGAAATTGGAACTTAGAAGAGTTGTTTGGTGACTTGCTCCAGCCCCACCAGCGCCTGCCTCCAAAGCCTTTGCCTTTCCCACTTCCTTCTCCTATATCTTGGCCAAAACTTTTCCAGCCACAGAAATGGTCATACTTTGGGGCCTTATTTTCTGTCAGGTAAAATTGAGCAGCCAGTCCCTCTCTAAAGGGGCGTAGCCTTATAGCCTGATGCTGTCAGAAGCTACTGCCCTTCCTAGCTTCAAGAGGTCTGAAGACCTTCTGCTAAAACAAGCAGGGCTGATAGGAGTCTTGTTGACCACCTTCTTTTCCTCGCCTTCATCTGAAGGATGAGGATAATAACTGCCTCTGTTGTGGGGTTATTATGAGGATTGAAATAATACTTGTATGGCCTCACCCGCAAAATGCTGTTCTATTCTGCTTAGCATTGCTGGGGTCAGAAGTGAGTCACAATCTCTGATCTGCTCAGAGACACCCAGCCAGCTCAAAGCAAACCATCCATTGAGGGAATTGAGGTTCAGAACAAATTAACAGGACTTCCCTGGTGGCGCAGTGGTTAAGAAACTGCCTGCTAATGCAGGGGACACAGGTTCGAGCCCTGGTCCAGGAAGATCCCACATGCCACAGAGCAACTAAGCCTGTGCGCCACAACTACTGAACTTGCGCTCTAGAGCCTGCGAGCCACAACTACTGAGCCTGCGTGCCACAGCTACTGAAGCCTGTGCACCTAGAGCCCGTGCTCCAGAGCAAGAGACGCCACCGCAGTGAGAAGCCCGCACACCACAACAAAGGGTAACCCCTGCTCGTCGCAACTAGAGAAAGCCCACACGCAGCAACGAAAACCCAATGCAGCCAAAAAAAAAAAAAAATTAATTTAAAAAAAATTAACAAAGTCAGAGAGTCTGTTTTGGAAAACCAAATGTGCCAGAGACTCAGGAAGGAGATGATTTGTGACTTAAATATCATAGAAAGACAGCCCTTGTGTGAGAAAGGCAGGAGAAGAGATGTTCAGTCAGTGTTTGATGAATGGCCAGATAAGTGCTGTGGTGCCTTCTGGGCCTGACCTCGTGATGTATGTTGATCTCACGTCCTGTGATATTGTTACACATACTTACCAGTTCTAGTGGCTTTTGTAGATTCCTTAGGATTTTCTGTATACAGATCATGTCTGCAAATTAAGGGCAGTTTTACTTTTTTCTTTCTAATCCAGATGGCTTTTCTCTTTCTTGCCTTATTGCACTGGCTAGAACTTTCAGTAAAATGTTGAATAGTAGTGATGAGAGCAGACATCCTTGCCTTGTTTTTAATCTTACTGGTAAAGCATTGTCTTTCACTCTTTAAGTGTGATGTTTGCTGAAGGTTTTTCATAGATGCCCATGATCCAGTTGAGGAAGTTTCCTTCTATTTCTAATTTGTTGAGAGTTCTTATCATGAATTGGAGTTAGGTTTTTATCAAATGCTTTTTCTCTATTGAAGTGATTTTTTTCCCTTTGTTCTGCTAATATGTGTTACATTAGTTGATTTTCAGGTATTAAATCAATGTTTCATTCTTGGGATAAATCCATCTTGGTCATAGTGTATATTCCTTTTCATTTGTTGCTGGATTTGGTTTGCAAATCACTTGTTAAGGATTTTTGTGTCTGTTTTCATAAAGAATATTGGTCTGTAGATATCATGTGATATCTTTGCCTGGCTTTGGTATTGGGTGATACTGCCTCATAAAATTAGTTGGGTAGTATTTTCTGCTCTGTTTTCTGAGAGTTTGTGTTGGATTGGTATTATTTCTTTCTTAATAGAATTCATCAGTTAAGCCACCTGGGCCTGGGCTTTTTGGAGGGGGCGTGATTTTTAGTTACTAAGTCAATTTCTCTAATTGATATTGGTATATTCAGATTTTATTATTCTTGAATCAGTTTCTATTTTGTACCTGTTAATAGTTCTGTGCACAGTTAATAATTTGTGCCTCTCTAGAAACTTGTCCGTTTTCATCTCAGTTGTCTAATTGGTTAACATAAATTTGTTCATAATATTCCCCTTTTAATATCTATAGGGTCTATAGTGATGTCTTGCTTTCTTTCCTAATTTTTGGTAATTTGTGTCTTCTGTCCTATTCTTGGTAAGTTTAGCTAAAGACTTATCAATTTCATTCTTTTCAAAGAAACAATTTTCGGCTTCATTGATTTTTCTGTATCATTTTCCTGTTTTCTGTTTCATTAATTTCCACTGTGATCTTTATTATTTCTTTCCTTACTTTGAGTTTGATTTGCTCTTCTTTTTCTAGCCTCTTAAGGTGGAATCTTAGATTTTTTTTCCTTTTCTTTTCTTTTTTAAATTTATTTATTTTGGCTGCGTTGGGTTTTCATTGCTGGGCACGGGTTTTCTCTAGTTGCGGTGAGCAAGGGCTACTCTTTGTTGTGGTGTGTGGGCTTCTCATTGCGGTGGCTTCTCTTGTTGTGGAGCATGAGCTCCAGGCACACGGGCTTCAGTAGTTGTGGCACACAGGCTCAGTAGTTGTGGCTTGTGGGCTCTAGAGTGCAGGCTCAGTAGTTGTGGCGCATGGTCTTCGTTGCTCTGAGGCATGTGGGATCTTCCCGGACCAGGACTCGAACCCATGTCCCCTGCATTGGCAGGTGGATTCTTAACCACTGCAGCACCAGGGAAGTCCCTGGGATCTTAGATTTTTGATTTTAGCTCTTTCTTTCTAATGTAAATATTTAAAGCTATAAATTTCCTTCTGAGGACTGTATTAGCTTTGTCTCATGAAGTTTGAAATGTTGTTTTGTTTTGTTTTTTTTGCGGTACGTGGGCCTCTCACTGTCGTGGCCTCTCCCGTTGCGGAGCACAGGCTCCGGATGCGCAGGCTCAGCAGCCATGGCTCACGGGCCCAGCCGATCCGCAGCATGTGGGATCTTCCCGGACCGCGGCACGAACCTGTGTCCCCTGCATCGGCAGGCAAACTCTCAACCAATGCACCGCCAGGGAAGCCCGAAATGTTGTATTTTTAAATTTTTATTCTTTGAATGTATTATTAAGAAGTGGCTTAACTTCTAAATATATGGAAGTATACAGATTTCTTTTTGTTGTTGATTTCTGATTTAATCCTGTGTGGCTGGAGAATGTATTTTGTATGATTTCAGCCCTTTTAAACTTTTAAGACTTGTTAGGTCAACTTAGACTTGGTATCTTTTGTTTTGTTTTTGTAAGTCTATGTAAAAAACATTACTCTCCTCTGGATGACTTGAGTTCTGTGCTGCTAACCACCTTAGCCTTAGTCATACATAGTCCATGCTTTAGAGAATTTTCTTTCTTTAATTCATGACTGATAATTTCACCTGGTGCCATGCGAATGAGGGAAGCTGGGTTGTAGGGCATATCACTGTTCAAATGACATCTCTGAAGGAGACAGGGGCCTTGAGATGATGCCAAATTCCTCATCCGATTTCACATTAGCAAGGGTTGCTTTCACACTCTTATCAAGGATTTTGCTTTTTGTTGCTCTTATGTCTATAGTTCTGTCTATAGACTCTGACAAGCTTTTAGGGGATTCCTTGAATATCAGTTTAGTTTAGGTTAAGCTGAAGAAAACCTCAAACAACAGTGGTTTTCCTTTTTGTTCTGCCATCCTGAGTTCTTGGCTCCCATCTCATAGACTAAGATGGCTGCTTGAGCTCCAGCTATTACCTCAGCATTCCAGGCAGCAGAGAGGAAGAAGACACATTTCCTACATGTGTAAGAAAGTCAAATGTATGCTTGACTTACATCCATTAGCCAGAAGTTAATCACATGGCCACCTAGCTAAAAGGGAGCCTGGAAAACACCTTTGCTCTGGGTAGTCTTATACTTAGCTAACAGTAAGAAAAGTTCTCACAGTAATAAGTTGGAGTGCTTATTGTGTGCCAGGCACTGTGTTAAACACTGGGAATCTCCCATTTAATCCTCACCCTCCCTATGGGTAGGCCTCATTTATTCCCATTTTATAGAGGAGGAAACTGAGGCCCAGTGAGGTCAAATGATTTGCCCAGGTTCACACAGCTATTACCGGAGGAGCCAGAACCCAGACTCAGGCATCTGACTCCAGAATCGGCATTCTTGGCTACCTGCTCTATTGCATCTCACCTCCTTTCCGTAATTCCCTTTTCTCCTTCCAGGTGAAGACCTCAGTGAAAACCCCTCAGACCAAAGCCAACCCAGCTGCCACCAGAGTGGCTTCAGCCAAAGGGGCAGCATCAGCTCCTGGAAAAGGGGTTTCTGCAGCTGCTCAAGCCAAACTGGGGTCCCCAGCCAAGGCAAGTAGGACCAGCGCCAAAAGAGGTGCCAGGGTGGGATGTAGAGGCGGCCAAGCAGTGGCCCCAGCCTGAACAAGGGTCCTGCACAAGCGGGAGTGATCTCCCCACAGCCATGCCCTGGGTGGGGCTTCACTTAAGGGGAACTGTGCTTTCCTCTTCCTTCCCCAATACTGTTCCCTCCTCATGATTCAGGTAAAGCCACCAGCAAGAGCCCCCCAGAGCAGTGCCATCTCGGGCAGGAGCCAGGTGTCTGTGCCGGCTATGGGGAAGGCACTGGCTGCAGCAGCCCAGGCCCAGCTGGGGCCGGTCAGGGGCCCACAGGAGGACTCGGAGAGCAGTGAGGAGGAGTCGGACAGTGAGGGGGAGGCGCCCGCTCAGGTGAGGCCCGGGAGGGCAGAGAGCAGCCCTGTGCTTCCCCTCTGTGCCAGGAGCTGCCTACAGCACAGCTACACATGCCCCATCCATCTCCCGTCACCCTTCCCTGACTCCGCTTCTCTCACTCCAGGCGAAGCCCTCAGGGAAGACCCCCCAGGTCAGAGCTGCCTCAGCCTCCACCAAGGGGTCCCCCAGGAAAGGGGCTGCCCCAGCACCCGCTGGGAAGGCAGGAGCCCCAGCTGCCCAGGCCGGGAAGCGGGAAGAGGACTCGGAGAGCAGCAGCGAGGAGGAGTCAGACAGTGACGGGGAGACGCCAGCAGTTGTGCCCCCAGCCCAGGTGAGGCCTCACAAGGAAGCAGCTTCAGTGCCAGGCCTCTGAGCCACCGACTGCCACCTACACCTGCATCAGAACGTGGGTTCAGGGCCAGGTGAAGAAGGAATTAAGACCAGATTAAGGCTCTGACCCCAGGATCCTTTCCCCCAGCTGCTGTACCCCATGTCTCCTTAGGTGAAACCTGCTGTAAAAACCCCCTAACCAAGGCCTTCCTGATGAAAGGTGTCCTATGCACTCCCATATCTACCAAGGTCTCCACAGCACGAGTGGGCACACCAGCCCCATGGAAGGCTAGGCCAGCAACTCCCACCAAGCTCCCAAAGATGTCACAGAGGGCCGTGAGGAGGCCTGGACTGTGGTGCAGGTACCATGAGGCCCTGGGAAGCTGGAGGAAGTCACATCCCTCACCTGGGCCTGGGGCCTCCTGTAGGCATGTGTATCTCTCAAGGAGAGCTCTTCTAGCTTAACATGAAGCCTGGGGAGTAGGGAGAGGGAAGGAATGAGCAACTGACTTTTATCCTGACCTTTTTCCCTCTGTCTGCTTGCACAGAAGAAGTTCAGGGTGACAAACTCCAGGACTCAGACATGTGATGGAAACAACGGGCTCAGGCCTGGTAGGGGTGATAGATGGCAACTGACATGGAGCCTTGGTGTCAGGAGAGACAGTAGGGAGTGGTGGCAACTAGGACAAACTGGAGAGCCCTTGTCTCATCTAGAAGAGCAGTCCCTGTCAGCTCTAGCCAGTTGTGACCTGGTGGAGATGGACCCTTTGTGAGGCCAGATCTTCCATTTCTTTTTTTTTTTTAATTAATTAATTTATTCATTTATTTTTGGCTGCATCGGGTCTTCATTGCTGGGTGCACGTGGACTTTCTCTAGTTGCGGAGAGCGGGGGCCACTCCTCGCCGCGGTGCGCAGCCTCCTTATTGTGGTGGCCTCTCCCATCGCGGAACACAGGCTCTAGGTGCGCGGGCCTCAGCAGTTGTGGCTCGTGGGCTCCAGAGCGCAGCCTCAGTATTTGTGGCGCACGGGCCTAGCTGCTCCGCGGCATGTCGGATCCTCCTGGACGAGGGCTCGAACCCGTGTCCCCTGTGTTGACAGGCAGATTCCCAACCACTGCGCCACCAGGGAGGTCCCTGTAAAGTTTGAAACAGGTTATTGTATCAGTCGGGACATCCTAATCTACAGGAGAAAACAGCTACTTCACAAGCGCTTAGATGCTAAGGGGATTGGTTATCTCGTGCCCAACGTTTCAGGATAAGGTGTCTGTAAAGGTGGTTCCTTCAGCTCAGTATCATCAGTGACTCAGATTTCTTCCATCTCTATGCCTCGTGTGCCTCATTGTCACAGCAGGGCTGCAGCATCTCCTAAAGAGCTAGGAAATCCCCCAGTTGACTTCCCCTCCCCTTGTCTCCTTGACCAGATCTAAGGCATGTGCTCTGCCCGCCCCCTGCCACCCCCCAAAAAAGTCACTCACTGGTGAGAGGCCTGCAGTTCCTGTGATTGGCTAGGAGAAGGAGCCACCGTCTCAAAGCCTGTGGTGGAGACCCCCCAGAACAGAGTCAGGGTTCTGTGAGCAAGGAAGCCATGGGGGTGTGGCTGTTGCAGTGTGCATTGTAGTTGATTCATTTTAAAAATTGGGAAATACACAAATCAGGATCTTCTAGCTTTTCTTAAGAAATTGGAGGCTCAGGCAACATGGGTCCTGCTTTTCTGAGGGGTGAAAGTGGGGCCTTCGCACCAGTAGGGAGGCCCAGAGCTGCCCTCTGCACCTGCCTGGGCTCCCCTGAGCTGGTCACCAGCAGCGCCTTGCTGATTAATCACTGCTCTCCGAGTCGTCCTCTGGCTCCTGACGGCTCTTCCCAACCAGCCCGCCCCGCTCGTCTACGCCTGGCCTGGCAGGAGGGGGGCAGGAGGGGATAACAGCTGCTCGGAGCACCCTCAGCCAACTCCTGCTTTTAGCTGGGGCTGTGACAGCCAGGTGTGAGCTGTGCTGGGGCCCCTGGCCCCACCCCTGCCACTTTGTCCCGGGCCACTATCACCTCTCATTCAGATGCCCGGCCAACAGCACGCCAGCCCTCAGGTTTTAGTGGTGTCTGACTCACACATCCCTTTCACGTTCAGAGTCAGCTCTGGAGGAAGGATAGACAGAGTGGAGACCTGTGTTCCCAGTGGCTGGGAGGCATGCCGGGCCAGCCGCTGTGCCCGCCGTGTGTATATAGGGGGGTCATGCTATCTTCCCCGGAGACTGAGGGTCGTTGCTCTCTGGCCGTGGTTTCCCCACCCCGGCCTCTCAGTTGTGCTTCCCCTCGGCTAACAAATGCCCCCTCACCCACCATATGCTTGTCCCGTCAGAAGGAGGGTAACTCCAAAACTGCCAGAAGCAAGACCCTGGCCCCAGCGCCCCCGGAGAAGAAGGCAGAGGGGTCCTCAACCAGCAGTGACGAGCTGCCAGCGGGACAGGTAGGCCAGGCATTGTCTCTTAGGACCCTCAGGCTCAGAGCTGGGCAGGTGGGCCCGGGCATGGGGGCAGATCTGTCCCACTTAAATAGCACTTCCCAGTTTCCTGAGCTCTTTCCTCTGTTTTAACACGTTCATCCACACAATAACCCTGGGAGGCAGGCAGCAGAGCCAAGGCAACAGAGCCAGATGGTGTAGGGTCAGAGCCAGCTGCCCCGCCCACCAGCTCCAAGGCCCGGGCTTGCCTTAACCGTGCTGAGGCCCGGCCGTTTCAGCTGTGAACAGGCAGGGTGTCAGTCCTGCTTCCCCGCTCTGCATGCTGGCACAGGTACACAGCGTGCCGCCCGACAGGGAGGGCCTGTGAATGCAGGAGGGCATGTGGTGGTGCATCAGGAGTCAAGGCCCAACAACTTGAAGTGATTTCCCCAGACTCCTGTGACCCATAAGGAGCCAAGGAAGGGGCAGACGCTGATACCCCTGCTTCCTGTTGGGACCTGGGAGTCTTCTCTGCAGGGCCTGTCAGAATCCCACAGGCCTGGTCCCAGACCGCACTCACACAACCTGCGGCCCATCCTCACACGCTGCCGGCCGTCCTCCCCTGACTCTACCCCTGAGGGCGGGACCAAGCCCACCTTGTCTGCCCAACTCCAGAGGCCCACTTTCACCTGGCAGGTGTCTGAGCTTCTGTGTGAACCCCAGTCCTCGCCTGCAGGTGGCACTGCCCTTTGTCCTCCTCTAGCCCCAAGTTCCTAGAAGCTTCTGCCAGGCCCTTCGGAGATGCTGGAGCCCGCAACCCCCAGACCAGTGGGTCTCCGTAACCAGCTCCCCTTGAGGACTTGCCTGGCGGTCCAGTGGTTAAGACTCTGCGCTTCCAATGCAAGGGGCACAGGTTCCATCCCTGGTCGGGGAAGTTCCGCACGCCATGCGGTGCAGCCAAAAAAACAACCAGCTCCCCATAGATATACCACGTGCTAATCAGTCCATCGGTAGAGTCAGATGCCATTTGCACACCCCCAGTGCTGGGGTGCTCACTGCCTTTCTCTCGTTAATAGCCTAGATTAGAAAAATAACCATGAGCAACTCCATCTACCGTTGGTCACTTCCTGAGTGCCAAGGACTGTGCTAGGCCCCATACTTTCATTATTCTGTTTAATCCCCACAACAGACCTATGAGGATAGGTGCTTCTTTTTTTTTTTTGCGGTACGCAGGCCTCTCACCATCGTGGCCTCTCCCGTTGTGGAGCACAGGCTTCGGACACGCAGGCTCAGCGGCCATGGCTCACGGGCCCAGCCGCTCCGCGGCATGTGGGATCTTCCCGGACTGGGGCACGAACCCGTGTCCCCTGCATCAGCAGGTGGACTCTCAACCACTGTGCCACCAGGGAAGCCCTAGGTGCTTCTTTTATTCCCATTTTGAGGAGCCAGGTATGAGGCCCAGAGAAGTTGGGTGAGCTGCCCTGGTGTCACAGGGCTGTAACAAGGGGACAGACCTGGTGTTTGAACCCAGGCTGTCTGCTCTCTGGCACTACCCCGACACTCCCCTCTCCGTGGCAGGAAGGAAGCAGGGCTTGGACACTGCCCTCTGGCTCTCTGGAGCCTTTTGGAGGCTGCCTCCTTCTCTGAGCAGGATCGAAACAGCTGGGAGGGAGGGGGCCGCTTCACCCTTCTCTGCGGGGGTGGACTAACACAATTAATATGAACATCATGCTTAAACTGAACCATTTAATTGGTACGTTAGTCCTCAGTATTCTGGAGTCCCTATTAAAAAAGAGGAAAGAAAAAGTCAGCACTTTGTGCATTCCCTGGGAGGATTCAGGGAAGTTGGCACAGCTTGGGGAAGCTGCAGCCTCCTCCTAACTGGGGGATTTTTATCTCCTTAATCCCAAGCTCACTAATTATTATTATTATCGTTATTATGCGTTTATCAGGCACTTCTCTGTTGTTGACGAGTTTCACTGTTTTTATTATTAGCCCGTCCGTGCGGGAAAGGGATTGATCCCAGGGTGGTGGGCAGAGCCCTAGGCTGGGAGGCAGAGAGGGGATGTGGTCCATTCCCAGGCCCCCTTACTGTGCCTCAGCCTCCCCCCATGCAGGGGATGGGGCCTGCCCCCTTGCTCTGAGGGGCACCTTGGGGGGTGGTCCGTGGCTCAGCCCTGTTGTGCTGGCATTAACCCCAGGCCAGGGTCTGTGCTGGGGTCTGGGGTAAGTACCAAATTAAGAAGACTAGGCCCTGCCTTCAGAGTTTCAGGTTGAGTCAGAAAGAAAGAAGAGACCTGTAAGAAACTAAATGAGGGTGTTAAATCAGAGGCTTAGCATGCTTGGTCCTGGAAGGAGTTCCTGTCTGGTGCGTGGAGGACTAGCTTCCAGCCCTGTCTCTGACACCAGTTTGCTGGTCACCCTGGGTAGGGCCACTTGCCCTCGCTGAGCTTCAGCCTTCTCAACCCCTGGGGTGAGATTCCCTGGGCGCTGGTGAACCATGGAGGCTCCAGGCCACATCCCTGAGAGTGGGATTTCTCATCTCCCTGGGGTGGAGTGGGCCCAGGATCTGCTAACCAGTCCCAGGCAGTTCTGGGAGAGGCTTTGGAGAAGTGCTGCCGTCCAGAGCTCGGGTATCTTCATGGCCATGTCCCTTGGAGTCAGCAGCCTGGGCCAATCTGCCTGACCCGTGCTCTGCCCCAGACTGGAATGAGGGCACTCTTGTGATGCTCTCAGCTGTGACTTCTAGAAGGCCCCCGGGTTTGGTCCTACAGGCGTCAGACCCTGTAGTAGGAAAGGAGCACCTGCATTCCCTCTGGGCCCTCACTGCCCAGCACCTACACGGGGCGTCCAGCCAGATGTTGGGGCTGCTTCCATTTCCAGTGCGTCTTTTCTGACGTACCCCAGAAAGAAGGCCCTTGTCACCCCTGTGTGTACTGGGCAGACCAGAGGCCCTCCAGTGAGTGAGCCCAGGCTGGGGTTACTAATAGCCCTTTCAGCAGGTGGGACAGTGAGGCCCACGAAGCTCAGGGGCTGGGCTACAAGGTGAGGTCGTGGCAGAGGTGGGATCAGAAGTGCATCCCACATACACCTGGACAGCACAGCCTTCCTTCTGAACCCTCCCCAGTCCAGGGCTCAGCCAGAGTCCCCCTAGTGCCCCAGCCCCCAAAGCCAGGCCCCCTGCCCAGCCCCCAGCCTGGTGGAGGGAGGGGTGCACGGCGTGGGCAGGTGGAACAGGGAGGAGGCTTCTGCTGCGGAGCTGCTTTTAACATCCCAGACGCTATTGTTTGCCTCAGTGGGCTTGCTGCCTCTCTTCATCCCCGACAATCTGTTCCTCTGTCTTCTCACATATATATAGATCCCCCCTCCCTTGACTGTAAGCCTTCTCCCACTTTCCATCTTCTCTCTTTCATCACGTGGGAAGGAAGGCTCTGGAAGTGGCAGATCGGAGCAGCCATGGGGGAGGCCGTTTGGCAGGGGTAGGAAGGGCCCAAGCCCAGCAGAGCTTCCCCTCTTGGGCGGGCCCCTTTCTGCTTTCCTTTTTACTTTACCTCTCCCGCTGCACCCTGGGAGAAGGTGGAGTCAGGCTCGGGAGGTGGGCAGAGACCTGGGTCCCAGACCGTGGCCGTGGCCGTGGGCAGCTCCTGCCTGCTGCCCTCCTCTCCCCGTGGGGTGTGGGGCTGGGGGCAGAACCCAGACCAGACCTGACCTTTGGGGACTGGAAAGTAGGCTCCCCAGATGCCCTTCTGTGCAGTGGGCATATTCACTGGAGCTGTGGTTCCCAGGCATCTGTAAGAATACCAGGTGGTGCTGCTTTCTTTCTCTTTGTTTCAGTGTCTCACTGGAAAATGCAAAGCATGCCCACAGATAGAACAGTGTACAGAGCCCCCAAGTACCATCCCCAGCTTTGGTAGTTCTGAACTTGTGACCAAGCTTGTTTCATCCAAACCTTCAACTCACTTCCCCAGCACCACTGAATCCCTTTTTTGTTTGTTTGTTTTTTAAGCACAATCTCTAAAATGTTGACCCACCTAGTTAGTGTCCCCATTTCCCCAGTTGTCTCATGAATGACATTTTCTATATCTGGCGTGGTCGGATAGGAGTCCATGTAAGAGCCACACACTGTACTGGGTCCCTTCGGTCTTACTCTGTTGATTTTCCCAGTGTAGTTTATTTGTTGAAGATACTGGGCCGATGTAGTTGGGTTGCTGCATCCTGGCCACACCCTCAGGAGGTGGCATCAGACTCTTGGGCATGGGGGCAACTAGATGGTGAACGACTCCCCGGGTGAATCATGTGTGACAACCAGGCAACTGAGGGGGGCGCTGCTTGGAGCGCCCCATGCGGCAGGTGTCTCTCTGAAGTCAGACAGGAGGGAAGCTGAATTGCACGTTCTGGCCCTGACTCTGCTTCCGTTGGGCCGCGTGGCCTTGGGCAGCTCTCCTCCCCTCTCTGGACTTGTGGTTTCCCCATCTGTATGGTGGAGCTAACGCTGCTGACCTCAGGGGTTTATGTGAGGGTCAGGTGGGCTCCTGTGAGCTGTGAGGTACTGTGCGGGGTCTTAGTGGGTGCGTGGGCTGGGAGTGAGCTGGGAGTGCCCTGGGCAGCTAGAATGGCTTCTGACTGTGCCCAGCCACCCCAAGCTCTCTGGACCCCTCGCCTTATAAAACCCTCCCCTACCCACCTTCCCCTTCCTCTTCCCCTGGCCAAGCCTTTAATCACTGGGGGGGTGTGTTTTGTTTTTGTTTTTCAAGGTGATTAAAACCCCTCTGATTTTTGTCGACCCTAATCGTAGTCCAGCTGGCCCAGCTGCTACCCCCGCCCAAACCCAGGCTACAAGCACCCCGAGGAAGGCCCAGGCCTCAGAGAGCACACCCAGGAGCTCCTCTGAGAGTGAGGATGAGGACGTGATCCCCGCTACGCAGTGCTCGACTCCTGGTGAGCACAGGCCCGCTGTGCAGGGCTGACTTCCCTGCTGCAAATGCCAGACACACGCACACACACCCGCATGCACACACACATGCACACACACACCCCCACAGGGCTGGCTCAGGAGAAGTAGCTGCTGGGGCTTCTCTGTGCTGGCTCTAAAGGGCAGAACCCAGACCAGAGGCTAGACGCTACAGGGACCAGGTTTGTAGTATAAGGAAGAGCTTTGTAACAACTGACTGACTGAACGTGGAGAGGGCTGTGAGGTAGTGAGCCTTCCATTCCTGGTGGCATGTAAAGGGGAGGGGTTAGGTAATCCCTAAACAGAGACATGTAGGGAAGGATTCCTGGAGACAGGACCAGATCTGGGATTTCTTTGACTTTTTTTTTTTTTTTTTTTTTTGCGGTACATGGGCCTCTCACTGTTGTGGCCTCTCCCGTTGCGGAGCACAGGCTCCAGACATGCAGGCTCAGCGGCCATGGCCCACGGGCCTAGCCGCTCCGCAGCACGTGGGATCCTCCCGGACCGGGGCACGAACCCGTGTCCCCAGCATCGGCAGGCGGACTCTCAACCACTGCGCCACCAGGGAAGCCCTTCTTTGACTTTTGACAATCTGTGATTCTAACAGTGATAGCAAGAAAATGGTTAATTACTATTATTAATACTAGAACACTTTTTAATGAAGATATTAATACCTGATCTTGGTAGGCTAATTAAGAAATGCAGATTAGCACAAAAGAAAAAACCTCACTTGGAATCCCACTGTCCAGAATATTACTGTTAACATTTTACAACTATTAACTTTGCAAAAGCCTAAGATAACGCCATGTGTTTTTAGTGAGACCACACTGTACATACGCTCAGTAATCTTTATTTGGTATGTTGTGGCGTTACATATTTACAGCGTGATGCCTGCTGGCTACAGAGTGGTCACTGGGGTGGGACCCTGCAGTTCGCTTAGCCAGCACCACGTTGGAGGAAGCTGAGGGTTTTGTTTGGGGTGTTTGGCTGTCATGAACAGTGCTGCAGTGAACATGTGTAATTGAGCCTCTGCACATGACCCAGGCTGTCCTCAATAGAGACTGTTTTACATGTGCGGAGAGTCACGTTTGGCTCCAGTGCTCTGCCTGTTGCTCAGGAGGAGCGGCCTGGCCAGCGGCGGGGGCGGGGGGGTGGCTGAAGGTGGGGAGGGGCCGAGGACGAGGCCAGGGGTGACAGCCACAGCAGTCGTGTCATCTCCCTGTCATGTGGAGACAGTGGCAGATCCTGCCTGGAAGGCTCGGGAGGGGATTTAACGGGCTTCTACCACAAAGACCCCGGGCACCGTGCCAGGTCCCCAGGATGGGCTGAGAGATTGGGTGTTGCTCCTCCGGGGAGGCCACGGGCTCCTGTGCCCTGACGCAGCCCCTCCCGCTCCGTCTCAGCCATTAGGACCAGCGTGGCAACTGTGCCCACGGCCCACCCCAGGGCAGCCCTCAGAGCCAGCATGGTGGGGACCGGCAGCAGTGAGGACACCAGTCGAGTGTCTGAAGGCAAAAAACAGGAGACGCCAGCCACTCAGGTACCCGACGGGCCGGGGGGCACTGTGCGGGCTAGCAGGGCTGAGGGGCTCCCTCCTCTGCCCCCACTTCCCCACAGGGTTTCTGGGTGGCAGCGCAGTTGCTTTCACCCACCCCCTCGAAGCCAGAACCTTTCCTGGCCTGGCCGCAGCCCTGATCCGAATTAGCCTTGCGTGATCTGGCACGTGTCGCCCGGGCAGAGCCATCCCTGCTCCCTGAGTCCCTCAGCAGCTTTTTCAACAATGTCAGGCCTTTGGTTTGTTTTTTCTCTCCCGGTTTGAACAAAAGTTTGCCGTTGTCAGTGTTTGTCATGGTGACCATGAGCGTTCTTCCCAGCCTTCACGGATTTCAGTGCATTTTAATTTATTTGGTCCTTGCTGGAACTTAAAAACCGGGCAGGGGAGAGTTAATGGCTCATCATTCAAATGATGAAACTGAGCACCACGCCCTCAGCAAGAGGGTCGAGACGTGACCAGGATCAGGCAGGGTCAGAATCGGGGCTCCTGCCTCCCAGTCCATTGCTCTCAAGGCTGTAGGCTTTGTTTCCCTGACCCCTTGTGCCCGCCCCTTTTTTCTGAGAAGGCAGGAGGAGGGAGAGCTGGGGAGGCGGCAGCAGGACTTGGGCACCTCCACTCAGAGGGGCTCATCACGAGCTACAGCTCAAAAAGAGCTTCCTGGGAGCATGGGTGCTGAGTGGGTGGCTGGCTTGTGGTCACGGCACCCAACAACCTGCATCCATTTGGCCGTTCAGCCAGCAGATGGTGCTGAGCATCTGTCCATGTGGGACACTGAGGATACAACAGGAAGAAGACAAGGAGGGTCCCTGCCCTCGTGGAGTTCCCGAGGCGGGGGTCAGCCATTAAACAAGGAGACCAGAAGTTAAAGTACTCACCAACTAGGGAACCAGGGGATGACCTGCTTTAGAAAGGACGGGCCGGGGTGGCCTCCCAGAGGAGGCAGCACTGAGGCCGGAGAAGCAGCCAGGCCTGGGCGAGCTGGGGAGCCCTCCAAGCAGGGAGACCCAGGTGCAGGGACCGCTGGGGAAGCACTTGGGGGTTGGAGAGCTGGAAGAAGCTGGGGCGCAGGGGACAGGCCTGACAACGTATGGTGAGGGCCGCGGGGGGGCCTGGAGGTTTCAGCGAGGGATCACACCCAGGTTCCGTTCCGTTCTCTGTCCTTGGCTGCCGCCGTGTGTGGGAAGCAGGAGTGGCACCAGGGAGACCGTTAAGGAGGCTGTTACAGCCACGAGGCTAGAGGCTCAGATTGAGTGGTGGGGCCTCCGGCGGAGCCTGAGCTGCTGCCCTCCCCTGGGCTGGGAGCTGTCTTTGGACCTCTGAGAACGCTATGATTAGCTCATAACCTGAAGCCTGGCACCATTTTCTGCCCAGATGGTGGCGTTGCCCCTTTGCCCCTCAGTCCTCCACTCCAGCCCCAGGTTCCTCTTGCAGCTACAGGTCCCCTCCCACCCCAGCCAGACAGGATCTGACCAGGCTGTGGCATGATGGCATCCCGGGAACCTGGGAGTCTCAGGGCTGCCTTTGGCTGTCCACAGGTGACAAAGAGGAACCCAGCTCACCTCCCGCTGACCCAGGCTGCCCTGAAGGTCCTTGCCCAGAAAGCCAGTGAGGCCCAGCCTCCTGCTGCCAGGACCCTGTCTTCAAGTGGGGTGAGCTGGGGAGCTGGGGAGCTGGGGGCCAGCCCCCACTCTGGAGGGGACGGTCATGAGAGACCACAGAGGGTAGAAGGCAGGGCCCAGGCAGGGTCCTGAGTCCCAGCACCAGCACTTACCAGCACTGGCCTTAGCACCCACGCTTACCTCCCGGGCTTCTGCTGCCCGTCTTAGAGAGTTGTGGGAGGATTAAATGAGGCCTGTGTGCAAAGCAGCTAACACGGTGCCTGGCCCTTAACTGAGGTGTTCAGTAAGCACCAGATCTTATTTCCCCTAATTTTTCCTTTCACCCTTTCTCCTCTCACCAAATTAGACCGACAGTGCTCGGGGAACAGTGCCCATGACGAGTCCCCAGAGCACCCCCGCGCAGGCCAGAGGGGCCAACAAGCTCAGAAAGCCTGAGGTTCCTGCAACCCAGCGGGCCATAGCCACTCCCTCGGGACGCCCCAAGGCCAAGGCCTCTGGGACCTCAGATGACAGCAAGGACAGCCGTGGCAGCTCTTCAGGGAGTGAAGAAGATGCTGAGGGGCCCCAGGTGGCCCCACTGACCCACAGGCCAGGTGAGGGTCCTGGGAGGAAAAGGCTGGGGGACCTGGTGGAGCCCTCGCCTCAGGCCTCTGCTTTGTGTCTCCACTTGTTCTGTGACTTTGGCCTAGCCATCCCACACAGGGTCTCAGTTTACCCAGCTGCACAACCCCATAACAGAGTTGGTCCACATGATGTTAGAGGCCTTCCTACTCGGCTGTTTGGCCACTCCCAACTTTTTGGTATCAAGCTCCCCTAACTGAGCCCCCAAAATCCCAGGGCCATGCCTCCCTTGGGAATTAGAAGGTTTTGGCATTCAGGTGTCTCACTTGGAATGCTGTGAATAGCAGTTGACCTTGGAAGGGAGCAGATGAAGCCTTGGGCGGGAGGGTGAGGCTCATACACAGGGACCAGGCCATCCTGGGGCCCTCCTGAGGGCTCTGGCCTGTCTAGCTGGCACAGGATACCTGGGACTCCCAGTAGGATACCTGTGCTTCTCCAGTAGGTCCAGCCCCCTCCAGGAGGGAGACCTTGGTGGAAGAGACCACAGCAGACTCCAGCGATGATGAGGTGGTGGCACCTTCCCAGGTAACCGCGAGGGAAGGGGCTGGCAACCTTGGGGGCCTTGGGGCAGGAGCCCCAGGCCAGGCTCTTGCCCACCTATGCAGTTGTAGGCCGAGGCCACCCCCTGGCTCATGGGTCTGGGCTCTTCCCTTTCCCGAGGGCCCTGGGCAGGGTCCTGTCCGTGTGGAGCCAGGCTGGCTACTGCCCCGAGGCCCCTTTTCAGCATAAAGTCGTGAGCAGCGGACTCTTGGAGTCTATAGACAGGGCTTACCTTGATTTAGGTGATCCCCATATAAAAACGCTCTTTAACAGATGGGATTTCTTTTAAGGTTATCATCTGTACGTGGCAACTGCTCGTGCTTTTCCATTTGCATTAGTAATAAGAAGTTTCCTTTTTAAATGTGCCTGTTAAAACTATGTATTAATTAAAATAGTGCAGGAGGTACTCACAGAGGGCTGGTGTGCCCACCACCCAGTAGGGCAGGCCCAACCCTCGGGGTCCCTGTGCTGGTGTCCTCACAGCAGGCCATACACTGCTGGGCCTCTTCACACTGGGCTTCTTCAGTCTCTCCTCTCAGGTTATGTGACCCCTGGGCTGACTCCGGCCAGTTCCCAGGCTTCAAAGGCCACTCCCAAGCCAGACCCCAACCCCTCGGTTTCCTCTACTCCGGCCACCAGAGATGCCCCAGACGGCAAGCAGGAAGTGGAGCCCCAACAAGCAGCAGGCACCATGTCCCCTAAAACAGGTGAGTCGAGGGCTGCAGGAAGGACACAGCAGGATGTGGAAGGACAAGGCAGGGGCCCCTTTCCCTCCCTCAGGAGCCATCCCACCAACATGGTCCTGTCTGCCATCAGGGCCGCCCCAAGTGAGGCCTGGTACCCCTGCATCAGGCCTGGAGGTGCTCATCAAAGGACAGGGGCCTGTGCCCGCGGGGCTGGCTGCTGTGGTCTAGGGCAGCCTGGAGGTTGGGTTATCCAGCCCTGTGGGATGCTGGTGCACCTGGTAGGATGACCCCTGCCTTAGAGGAGGTGCACCTTGACTTTCAGGGCAGGCCTTGGCTCTCTCTAGCTGTCCGTGTTGACTTTTCTTCCTAACAGGTAGGCTCATGGTGCGGGACGTCGGGACTCAGGGTTGCTCAGACAGAAGGTGGGGCCACGTTTGGAGAAGTCTTCAGCACATGGCGACGACCCCAAGCTATGGACTGACGTTCTCTAAAGCCTCAGATGAGCCCCTGGGCTCTCTGGACCTCAGAGCCTTAACCAGACAGGGCAGGGGTTGATGCATCCATTGGTGTCACGTAGAAAATGGCACATGTGGAAAATGGTCACGCAGTGTTTGGAGGGCAGACTGGAGTGCTCAGGTCACCTGGCCTGGGGCATCAGCCACTGCTGACTGTGCCAGTGCTATGGGACATTTAGAGGGTACACCTGGGACAGCTCTAGGGGTTCCCTGGCCTTGGTGTTCTAAGGTGTTTGGTAGACAGGAAGCAGAGAAGTGGGCTGCAGGGAGAGAGGTTGCCGAGGCACCCTGTGCCCTCCTCAGCTCCCTTCTCTAGCCGACTCCTGTTCTTGCCAAGAAGCACCAGAGGACTGAATTGGGCCTCCGTCTGTCCTGTGACCCCCTCTGCCCACCACCCCTGTGCCACTAGGGCTCTGGAGCCAGAGCTGCTGCAGGGCCCACTGCACACTGCCGGGAACAGCCCTCCCCACGTGGAGCAGGGCCAAGCCACCAGCACCTCCCCCAGCCCAGGGTGTCGGCGCACTTGTGCTGTGAGGCCCCGAATGGAGCTGAGACCTGCCAAGTCACCTGTGAAGTTGGGGCGGCGTCAGGACATATGCTGAGTCCCACACCCCCCAGTCCCTGGGCTTTTCGTGCAGCTTGCCTGGTGCCGGGTCAGCAGAGGAGTCATTGCTCACTTTCTTCCCCAGCGTTCTTCTCTTTGTGAGAGGCGGGTGTGACAGGGAGACATTTTAGAGGGGGCTGTGGAAGGTTTTTCACACGTGTAGTCAGCATACAATTATCAAAGGAGAGCAGAGGCGTGGAAAATTCTAAACAAAGGCTGCAGCAGGAGTCGCTCTGGCAGGCCGTAAACCTGCTTAGTCAGCCACCATGTGCATGTTCACTGCACCCAGCACCCCCAGGCCACACCACCTGGACCCCTGACCACGGAGGGCCTGGGCCCACTGTGCGCAGGTGGGCGTGAGTTGAGTGACTGCGTGGCCTTCGCTTTTATTATGAATCTGTGATTTAGAATGGGGGTGAGGGGGCTCAGAGTTCATCTAACCCCTCATTTTACAAATGGGGAAACTGAGTTTGGTTTTCAGACCCAGAACGCAGGTCTCCTGCCTCCCAGCGCTGGACTCCTGACTGGTAGATACTATCCCTATCCTGACGGTTAGATTCTTTGATTTGTTGGTAGATTTCAAGCCCATTGATGAACATTCTGGAGTTAATTTCCATCCCCAACCTGAACTTGAGTTTTTAGTGTGAGGAGACAAGAAAAGAGCTCTAAGTTAGAAGCTGGCAGAGAGGTGTGAGCCGGAGACCCAGCGGGGCCCCGCCATCCCCCTCTGTACTGCACCAGAGGAGGTCAGGTCTGTGCTGGAGCCCCTTGACTTTCATCCCACGAGAGGTCTATTTCCTGATTCTCTCAGATCCATGACCCCGGGTCCTCTCTCCATAGGCAGAAGAGAGGCCAGCGCCACACCTCAGAAGCCCCAGAAGACCGGGAAGGGGCCCAGGAGCCCCCAGGCCTCCCTGCAGGCGCTGCAGAGCGACATCACCCGGCGCCTGCTGAGCGAGCCCTGGCCCCTGAGTGAGGCGCAGGTGCAGGCGTCGGTGGCGAAGGTGTTGGCGGAGCTGCTGGAGCAGAAGAAGAAGGCCGTGGGTGCTGCCAAGGAGGGCAGCCGGAAGGGCCGCCTGGGCAACAAGCGGAAGCTCTCCGAAGACCAGACGGCCGCCGGTGCCCCCAGGAGCAAGAAGAAGAAGCAGCTGGCGGCCGGGGATGGCGGGGAGCGTGCGGTCTCCCCAGAAAAGGCCCCCAGGACTTCTAAGGGGAAATCCAAGCGGGACAAAGCGAGCGGCGACGTCAAGGAGAAGAGGGAGAAGGAGTCTCCCGGCTCCCAAGGGGCCAAGGAGAAGGTGGAGGGTGAGGGGGGCGGAGACCAAGGCAACCCAAAGAGCAGGAAGGAGAAGAAGAAAGCCGACAGGAGTAAGTGGCCGCTGCAGCCCCGGAGCGCGCTCCCCAGCCCCGCCGAGCGCTGCCGGCCACCTCCCGGCAGGCAGCCCCCAGCCGGCACAGAGATGGGGCTGAGAGTGGCTTGTGCATGGGGGGCGGGATGGGCAAAGCCGGAGCCAGGTGCCGGAGCACAGGGGCCACCACTGCTGAGAAGGTGCTCGCGGCTCCAGGGCGTGTGCCCACGGAGCCCCGAGCTCCCTCACAGCAGCCACCGCCACGCACACTTAGCTCAGGCCCCTGCGATCCAGGCTCCTGGACAGCAGCCGCCCCTCGGCGCACTCTGCACTGGACTCCGCCTGCGGCAGGGCTGCCTTTAACCCTCACTCCGGCCCTGTGTGATGGGTGATAACTCATTCCCATTTACAGGTTGAAAGGGTCTTTTTAAAATAAATGTGTAGAAGTTCTACAGAGTGAGTTAAAGGAAAATGGTAATAGTCCAGATGGTCCACGGATGGAGCAGAAATCACGAGGCTGGCCCAAGGGCCAGGGCACGTGGTCGCAAAGGCCTATGGACCTGTGCTTTGACGGCTCCCCATGGTGTGGGGCATCGATCGGGAGGGGAGAGCTCCAGGGCCCCTGGAGACCTGCCCCGTGTCTCTCGGCATTGACGCCAACATTTAAGACTAACACCTGTTGTTTAGCAAGTTTACTTTCTTCCCTTAGGAAAAAAAGACAAGGAAAAAAAAGAAAAGAAGAAGAAAGCCAAAAAGGCCTCAACCAAAGACCCTGACTCACCATTGCAGAAGAAAAAGAAGAAAAAGGTAGAGTGAGTTCCTGAGGAGTCTCAGGCGCGAAAAGGGGGCCCGCACCCAGTCCCCGGGGTGAATGTGATCAGCCCCGGCCTCTGCATGTCAGGGTAGGGGTTCGTGTGGGCCAGACCTGGTCCCTGTGCCCCTTCCATTCTCAGGGTCCAGAACGGGGGCTTGTGCGTTGTGATACACTAGAGAAGAGCTAGGGGTGGGGCGTCACCCTGAGGGGCAGGAGGTCTGTGCACATGGGCACCATGGAGTGGCCCTATCTTGCCCGTGAGATAGAAGGATATTCTTAAGACAAGTGAAGAAAGCAGAGCCCCCCAGGTGGGCAGGGAGGCCAGGGAGGCTGTTGCAGGTTTCCAGGTGAGAGGAAACGTTCCCTGGCACGTGTGTGCCCCAGCAGGCAGGGCATCCCCACCACAGAAACACACACAGTCTGCTTCATGCATGTCAAGGGCTGATCGCCTGGCCAGGGGGCCCTCAGTGCCTTATACTCAGGCGCAGTTCTCACCGTGGCCAGCAGGGCTTCAGCTGTGGTCAGAAAAGCTGAGCATCTGCTGCTGCAGAGTCCTGAGCTCCTTCCTCCAGGGCACACGGGGGCTGCCATCCCTACCCTCGGGATCTCTGTATGCCCAAAATCTGTTCTGGGGGAGCCACGAATCCTCAGGAGACAACTGTCACATCCCCTCCTGGTGGGGGCAGCGTGGGTGGGGAGATGCTTCAGGTACAGGAGCCTCTCATACGTACTTCTCTCTTCACAGAAGAAGACGGCAGAGCAGACTGTCTGAGGGACACCAGGCGGCAGGTGCACTTCCTGACCCGGGAACCCCTGCTGACCATCTGCTCCCCGGGGAGAGTGGGAGGGCAGGCCCAGCATTCACCGTGGTTCCGGGGAGCTAGACTGGGCTTCGTGGGTAGGCCCTGAGGGGAAGGGGGTTTGGAGAAAGAGGTTGCATTCCTCAGGGTCAGTGGGTGATGCCGGGAACCAGAGCTGTAGAATCAGAAGTGTCTGGGACAGTCCTGGCAGTGACCAACACTGAGTGTGCAGTGGGAAGTGGGCACTGGCCTGGTGCCTCTGTACATGAGGATAAGGCTTGAGGTCGGGGACGGCTCAGTCTCTCCCTCACCACTGCCAGTTCCTTTTCCTTATGATTTTGTAATTCGAGGGCATTTCCTCGTGGGAAGGAAGATGATTTGCTCAAAACAAGCCATTCTGATGGCTCTGTGCTTCCCAGGTAGTGGTGAAGTGGTTAAGTGATCCGCCTGGCTGAGCCGGCCCCAGCCTGCTGTAAATGGGGGTAATGCAGGCCTGGGCTGGTAGTGAGGATTCAGTGCAGTTAATTAAGCTCTAAAGCACTCAGCCTAGTTCCTGGGACATGGTCAGCATTGACAAGTATCCACCGTGGCTAGTTAATGCCCCTCCCCTGCATAGGAGATGCCAGCTTTCGAGTTTGTTCTCCTTGGTGGAGAAACAGGTCAGGAAGTCTGACGTTTCCTTCTCCCAAGGATTTCTTAGCCAAGCGGTGGCCAGCCCCGTGCCTCTTCCCTCTGCCCACCAAGGGTTGGAATTGAATTTTTAACTTCCCCTCCTTCCCCAGAAGATGATGGCCAGCTGCGGTGTCCATGCTGGCCAAGCCAGTGAGCCCTGCAGAAAGGCTGGTCCCGGGAGGAGGAACCACGCCCAGCTCCCATGACCTCCACTCACTGACCCTGGCCTGACTTCTGTGCCGACAAAGGATGCCTCGTATGGACATGTACAATACATATATATATATTTTTAAGTGACCTGCCCCTCCCTTCTCAGACCCAACATGCCCAGAGGTCTCGGGACTTTCCACCTCTGCCCTGCAGACCCAGTGAGGCTCAGCCTGCGACTCCTTCCATGCCCCTGGTCTCCAGCTATGCTGAGGCTTTGTCCTTTTTGTCAGTTTTCTCCCATTTTGTTTGTTTGTGTGTTTTTTGTAATAACTCAGAAAATAAAAGACGTGAAGGAAAGGTGCAAGTTCCCACTGCATCTGGGGCAAATGTTTTACAATCGATTGATTCTTGGAAGGGAGTCTGGCTGACACTTGCAGACGAACAAACCATCGCTCAGGATTTATTCTTGACCGTGTATCAAGGCTCTGTGATACTGTGGTGAGTGACACACTGTTTGCCAGAGGAGGAGACTCAGCAAAAGGCCCTGGTGTTGAATTTGGGTGGGGAAGGCTTCCTGGAGGAGGTGGCATCTAAGCTAAGGGGGAGCTCAGGCATGGTCGTGGCTGGTTGCTGGGGTAGGTAGGTCAGGCAGATACCCAGAAGCAAGAAATGGAAGGGGGGTCTTCCAAGTCACCTTTTGAAGTTAGGACAAGCTGCGGGCAGGCTCTCTTGAGGTACTTGGTGGAGAGTAGCTGGCAGGGACAGTAGGAGCAGGAAGCCCAGTTAGGACTGGGTTGTCCACGTGTCTAGGTAACAGAGGTTCTGCGATGATGAAGGCAAGAAGTGGAGGAACCTGAAAGATGTGTCAGGGTGACGTCCGCAGGACTTTGTGATGACCAGTGATGCAGAGGGCCACTTCCCTGAGCCCAGAGTAGTGTGGAGCACCCAAGGTCATGGAGTCCGCTCCAAGGCTTTTAGCATTCTGCTAGAGGCAGCAAGAGGCCGTGCAGAAACAGAGCACTGGGCTGGGGAGGTCTGGGAGAGCCAGGGTGGCATCCACATTTACCCTAACTTGGGGCTCCTGGGCCAGGCCCTCCCCCAGGGAGCCTCTCTCCCCTTAAGTGTGTTGATCCAGAACAGAGGCCGCAGAGCAGTGTCCGATTGGGCTTCTTTGACCCACAGCAAGTCTTCAGACTTAGAAATAGAGGTTTCAGTGAACTTCTTCATTTGGGGCTCCTCTTGAAAAGTCCAGAAATCTAACCACAGGGGCCTCTGCTCCTCCTGGAAATGAGCAGCTGGCGCACTGCAGCGGCCGCCCCTTCACTAGGACGTAGGCCCCCACTTCCACAGCCGCCACTCCCTGGTGATCCCGACACAAGGGCCCATGTTGTTGCCATCTGTTATCACACTTGTACTGCTCTCAGTATAGAAAAGAAAATGGGGACGTGAGAAGCCGGACCCAGAGGAGCTTGTGCTTAAAGAACTGTGGCCAAGAGCCTGTTTCTTCTTGGAAGTAGGGAATATATCCCGTGTGTGGAACATGGAGACCAAGCGCGTCTGCGTCCAAAGACTGCAGCCCCGCTCCCCACGGCCCGGCCCCACCCCACAGGCATCTGTATTTGGGCTCTCTGGGCTGTGTCCTCCCACCAAACCACAGGATGCAAGGTCTGCAGTTCACCCCCTTCGGGGAAACGAACCGGACCCAACAGAGCAGCCAGGAACTAGGAGTGTTCTACTCACTACCTTTTATTCTCACAGGCGCCGTGGCCCTGAGGGCCGATGACAAGCTTGGCTACGCAGATGGAACTGGGGGTTGGTAGAAAGGAGGGGCCGCGGGTGGAGAGGCTGGTTCTTCCTGGGTGGGTGATGCTGGGGAGAGGGAAAGGGTGGCTCCTCCCCCGCAGTTAAACAGGCTGGAAGGCCGAGGCCAATGGGGGAGGGGAGAGCAGAGGTGTCCGTCCTGGGGCTTGGGTCAGTGCCATCCCTTCTCCCTACACCTGCCCACCTCTTCCATGGGCCTAGATCTTGGAGCACCATGTGGCGTCAGAAGTGGGGGTCAGCCTGGTTCATGGTCCATCTCCCTGGGCCTTGTGTCCCTGCTAGTGGATGGGGTTTTGAGCAGCAGGGCCCTTCTGCATTGTTAATCTGTGCCGTTCTGATGATTTGATGTGTCCAAGGATGCTGGAGAGCCAGGCGCCAGAGTCTCATAGAATGAGGTGCAGGGTAGGAGATGGCAAGGGGAGGGGTGTGTAAAGGAAGGAGAGGGGCTAGGGTAGGGGGCCAGGGAAGCTGTGGCCATGCAGGGCTGGCTGAGTGCTGGCGTCTGCGTCTGCTGTGCTCACAGGATGACTGCGGAGAGAGACACAGCAGGTTAGGGTTGGAGTCACCCGTTGCTGCCCCTTCCCAGCATCCTGTGGCCTCAGAGCAGTCGAGGACTCTACCCTCCACTGCCTCCCGCTTGGGTACAAGTACTGACCGTCATAGCCCCTGAAACCCCCAACCCTGGTCCTCATCTGTGAAATGGATGTTGGAGAATGGCCCAGGGTCATCTACCCACGAGGGAGTAGGCCCCTCGGGGGGTAAGCTGCTAGGGACCAGATCCCCTGCAGGGGCCCTTACCCTGACCGAGATCCTGCTTGGACATGCCCAGCCCAGATGACAGGTCCTCCATTTCCAGTGGGTCTGCAAAGGAGCACAGTGTCCACTTGTCAGTTGCAGCCCAGCCTACCGCACCCGTTGACAAGGGGCCTGGGTGGGCTAGTTCTGCCCAACCTCGCCACAAGCCTGGTGCTTGGTAGAACAGGCATGAATGGAAGGATGCTTGTCGGATGGCTGCAAGCGGCAATGAAGCGCGGCCGGGGAATTGAATGAGCAAAGCCAAGGAGCGGGTGATGAAATCAGATGGGTGGATCTGGAGACTCCTGGATGCATGCGTGGATGGGTAAAGTGGAAGGACTGAAGGATAAATGAGTAAGTAGATGAGTGTGGGCAAAGGAGAGAAATAATAAATGCACAAACAGATAAGGAATGCACAGGTGGGTGGATGCATGGCTGAGTGGCTGCCCCCCAGGAGTCGTCACCTCGAGTGTCCTGGCCCCAGGTGCACCAGGAGGGACCTCCTGCCCCTCAGCCTTCCTGGTCCTTCCTGCTCCTGGCACAGCGGCCACTGCTTACCGCTGCAGTTATGGTGCCCACGGCTCCTGGTGTGGGGGACCTCGGTGCCGTTGGGGAAGACGCACCAGCAGTAGCCGATGCTCCCATAGCATTGGAGCGGCATATAGTTGCCATTCTCGTCGCACTTGGGCCTGAATGTGCCCGGGTGGATGTCAGGGATGCGGCTGACCTCTTTCTGGCACTTGGTCAGTACTGAAGCGACAGGCATGGTGAACACAGTGAGTGAGCAAGCTCTGGGCCAGGGTCTCAGCAGAACCAGAGATCCACATACCACTGCTGTGGGCCTAATGCCTTCTGTCCAAATGGCTGTACTTGCTCTACCCATTGCACAGATGGAGAAACTGAGGCCTGAACCAACAAGGTCCAGGATCAAAGAGGAAGTGAATGGCTGTGTGGCTAATTCATCCCAGAACATGATTTCTTCAAACACTCAATGCCTATTAAAGTTTAGAATTGCACCTGTGATTCTGACTTCTAGAGAAAAGCAATGGACACCTTGGTAAGTCTGAGCTTGCATTACTGGGGGTATCCAAGTAGAACTGGGGGTTACTATGTGATGGGGATGTTATAGCGGGGATTCAGACATTAGCTGGGAGTTGGTCGAGATAGCATCCAATGTGCCCTCTATGACTCTGTGATGGAGAATCTGAGGCCCAGAGAGGGGTGGACCGTTGATCTTCCACTTCTGAAACTGAAGCCCAGAGGGAAGAGACTTGCCCAAAGTCACACAGCAAATTAGCACCAGGATGAAAACACAGGACCCATAAAGGCTTTAGGGCTGAAAACCCTGGTATACATTGTCCATGAGATGGAAAAACCCCAAGGCCCTCTTATCTAGTACCTGCTGGCTGTGTGACCTGGGAGAGGTCCCTTTGAAGGGTGAGAATCATGAGCCCAGCCCTCTCACGGGAACCTGCAGGGTGCAGTGCTGGGTGGGGAAGGTCACTGCCATGACTCCTGGGATGTTTTGGGTGGTTGTTGCTCCAGGCCCCCTTGTGCAGTACCATCCTCCACAACGAGGGTCACCTCCTGAAGGGAGGACTCGGTACCCCAGACAGGATGGGGGCTGGGGGCAGCCGAGCCCAGAAGAGCAGGCAGGAGAGACAAGAGTGAGAGCTGAGAGGCTGGGAGAGTCCTGTGCATGGATCAGGGAGTGCCTAAGGCTCTACCCCTGAGGGAGCTCCGAGAAACCCTGCCTCCCCAAGGCTCCCATTCCCTCTACCTTTTGGTGGAACTTCAAAAGGCTTCTCCTCCAGCGAGATTTTGCTCATTTCAAACAAGAGCCACTGATGCATCCAGTTCTCAAAGAGCTAATTGGGGATAAAGGCAGAGAGTCAGGCTCAGTAGCCCTATCCAACCCAGCCTGACTCTGTCCCTGGGGACAGAGACATGGAGGGCCAGCGGGAGCCTGGTTCCTCCTTAGAGACCCCACAGGGCTTGGTCATTCTTCCATGGCTGTGGTTTTCTAGGTGCTGGTAAGCCGCCTCCAGCTTCCTGAGAATGGCTTCCCTGCTCACCCCGCCTCTTCCCAGGGCTGCTCTAGATGTCAGGAGAGGGAGGGTACCAGGGCAGGGGAAGCTTCTGACCTTCCAGTCCATGCTATCCATGGTGTCCTTAAGGTGTTTCATGTTTTCTGGGAAGCTCCCCTTCAGCTGCGGGTACACCTTCAGGGGGTCAGCCTTCTGCAGGGTAGCAAGGCAGGAAGGAAGGTTAAAAAGCTTCCTGGCAGGCAAGGTTTAATGTGCAGCCCATGTTCCCCTGGTCTTCCGTTCTGAGGGCTGGACCCCAGACCTCAGCATGTTGGAGCTAGTGGGGAGGGGAAGTGGTCTGGGTAATCCGGCTACACAGCTACAAGACCCCAGGGCTAGGAGTTGGGAGACCCAGTTCCAGGCCCAGTTCTACCAATAACCCTCAGTCTTCTGCTCCTTGCAGGCTCCTGTTCATCTTTCGGGTCTCACCTCCTTCAGGACTTCCTTGACCTCATCCCAACCACCCCAGCTAGGTTGGGTTCTCGGCCTCTTTCCTCACAAAGCCCCCTGCACATCCCTCATCACCTGGTCACTTGTCTGTCTCCCATGCTAGCCTGAGATCTCCGTGGGACTAGGAGCTGGATCTGATTGCTCCCGATTGTGGGTCCAGAGCCTTGCACAGTGCCTGGCACCGAGTAGACATGCAGCAAAAATTTGGGCAGGAAAAAACAGGCATCTTCAGCAAGTCACTTCCAGACTCTGGGCTTTGGTTTCTCCATCCCAAACACAAAACAGGGAGTGGCGGGTCTGGACTTCATATAATGTTTAAGGGCCACACTTGTCTTCCTTCACTAATCTGGTGATCCCATATTGGATGTCTGCTGTGAGCCAGGCATGGCGCAGGTCTTGAAGCACAGCCTCACTGGGGGCTTATGGGGATGGGGCAGGAGGTCAGGGATGCCTGGCCAGGTTCCACTCACCAGGAGCAGCCGCATCACATGGTCCTGCGTCATGTTGCCATACTTGGTGGCGTTCTGCATGGGCTGTGGAAGGAAGGAATAGGGTGTTTCCCAGCACTGGCCCATGGAGGAGGGGCCCTAGAGCAGAGCCAGCAGCTGGGGTCTGGGCGAGAGTGTGGATTCCCAGATGTTCAACAGGCCCACCTCTGCCACCTCCAAATGTGAGGGCTCGGGCAAGTCACTACCTTCCTGCCTCAATATCCTATTCGTCAACTCTGCATAAGCTTTCCTGCCCAAGGCTTTGTGGACAGGAGATCGTTTTGTGAACAGAAACATCCATATATGATATCAAGGGACTGGAGAATAGGAGGGACTGTGAGATGCTCTGGGAAATGAGAAGTATTTTGTAAGTTGTGGAGGACTGAGCCCTCTTCCCAGGGAGGGCCCCAAGAGGCTCCTTCCTCCCCCACCTCTGGAGTTCCTCCTCCTCCCCCAGCAGTCAGGACCCCCTCTCCAGCTCTACTTTTCCCGGGCCAGCTGTCCTCCCCTGTCCCTTGGCACCTGCCCTCCATCCAGGCTAGGTAACGCTTCCCTCTTCCGCCGCCCTGGAGCTGGCCTTACCTCTGGGCCTTCCATGGGCAGTGCCTGCACCAGCATCGGGGTGCTGAGCCGCATCTTGCTCAGAGGCTTGGCGGCTGTGGGGCAGAAGGTACAGCATGAGCGTGGCCCCAGGGAAGAGGGCACTCAGCTCCGGGGACCGAGATCTCAGACCCAGATGAGGGGCTGGAATTCCAGACCAGAGAGAAGGGACGGCGGGCGCAGCTGGGTGCAGGAATGAGGGGTCTTCTGAGGTGAGGGACGGGGGTGGGTGAGGGCCTTGGAGATAGAGGTGGGGCACGCACACTTGGGAAGCTTCATGCGCAGGTTCTCCAGCTGCAGGTTCTGCGAGGTGACTGTCAGCTTGTCCAGGCGGCCCTGCTGCTGGTACAGGAAGTAGGCGGTGGTGGCCTGGCCGGCCAGGAGCAAAGCCACCAGGATGGAAAAGCCTGTGTACAGGGCTCCACGGCTGCACTTGCTGTTGGGGGCAGGGAAGATAGGTCAGAAGAGGGTCCGCGGAGGCGGCTGCCCCGAGGACTAGCAGGGAGTGGGGAGAGTGCCCCCCATTTCCAGCCCTCGGCCCTCAGCTACCCCTAACACACACACACTTTAAACACAAACAGGTGCCTATGAACCTGCAGCTTGAAGATGTTCCCCTGACCCCCTACCTCCAACCAGTGCTACCCCTATAGCCCTCCCAGGTGGAAGTCCTGGAGCTGCCCCTGGGCCTAGGCTGCGTGGGGAAGAAGCGGGGACAAGTGCCTTGTCTTCTCCGGGCCTTGGTCCCACCTGTGCAATGATGGCTCGAGGTGGAGGGTCTCCCCAGGTTCCCTCTACCAGAGGATCTCCTGAGGATCAGGGCTGCCCTCCAGGCAGCCCCCACTATGCACCCAACCCCTGCAGTGAAATCAGAGACGAAGGAAGGAAATAGGGCCTGGACAGTAGAGCATGCAGCCCACCTGAAAAAGAGAAGTGAGGCCTTGCCCTTTTTAGGAGTGGGTTGGGTGCATCAGACAATGTCTGGCTGGCGCAGGGCCAGGGACCAGCCCCTGTGGGAATACATCCTCTGCCCAAGACACTCCCTGTGCCTCTGAGCACATCTCTGCCATTCTCTGGGCCTGTTTCATGGGTACCTCTCACATCAGCAGTTCTAGAATTTGGTGGTCATCATCTGAAGTAAGATCTGTCTGTGACCACAGAAGTATTCTGAACGGTAATATCTACCGGGGATGGGGGTTAGGGAGCAGGGTGGGGCGTATCTCAGCAGGAGTTTGGTGCCTGAGTCTGTATGACCTGGTAGAATGTCTCACGCTCCCTGGACCGGCTGGCTGCACAGGGAGGGGTGGGCGGACCTCGGCCAGCCCTTGGAGCTATTGGCCTTGGATACACTTTTGAGGGCACATGTAAATATTACGTGCCGGGGAAGTAAGTATCCCACCCCAGGACCCTGAGAGTTCCTGACCGGTTTGTTTTTTCCCACCTACCCCAGGGACAGAACTACTAGGACCCCACTGGAAACTGAGGATGAGACTGCACCCTGCTTACTCCAGCAATCAGCAAGGATAGTTTAGGAACCTCCAGGAACACCCTGCTGCCTAGTAACTCATGACATCACAGACATGGCTCATTCTCACTGGCTCTCTGCTTGTCAGTCCTCTGATTTCTGGGCCAAGGCCCAGCCCAAGGGATTATTATTCTGAAAGGAGAAAGTAAAAAGCCTGTGTGGAGAAAAGGAGAAAAACTGACAGGAGGGGAAAACAAATCCTACTTGTTAGCCTTCCCAAGGAACAGGGGTGGCCTGGCCTCTGAAGTGGTGAAAAGTCCACCCAAGTCTGGGTCTTGCCTGAGTTCAAGCTCTACAGTCGCCCCACCCCCAGTCTAGCCCCAGCTCTGCCTCCCGCCATCCCCTCTCAACATCAGTTTCTCATAAGGCCTGAGACTCTAGAGAGTCATAATGAAGACGAGACCATGTAACCTGGATTGGAATCCCGGTTCTGCCACTCCCTTAGCTTGGGGACCAGGGGCAAGTCACCACGTAACCTCTCTGAGTGAGTAACTTGAGGTAAGAACATCTACTCTACTCAAAGGTTGTTATATAAAACAAGAGTGGGGGTAAAACTCTCAACTCCATACCTAGCATGTAGTTAGCACCCCATAAGTAACACTGAGCGCTAATCTCAAAGGAGTTAATAGTTAACTTTAGAATCTGGATTCCTTCCTATTTATGCATCTTGATTGCCTGTCTCCTGCTTCTAGACAAAGGCCAGTTCTTCTCACCCTTCTCTTTTTTTTTTTTTTTTTTTTTTTTTTTTTTTTTTTTTTTTGCGGTTCCGCGGGCCTCTCACTGTTGTGGCCTCTCCCGTTGCGGAGCACAGGCTCCGGACGCGCAGGCTCAGCGGCCATGGCTCACGGGCTCAGCCGCTCCACGGCATGTGGGATCTTCCCGGACCGGGGCACGAACCCTTGTCCCCTGCATCGGCAGGCGGACTCTCAACCACTGCACCACCAGAGAAGCCCTGTCACCCCTCTCTTCACTTCTTCCTTTCTACTGCCTCTTACTTTACTAGTAATAATAATTGGCCCAAGTCGGGAGCCAACCAGAACTAGCCAACCAGAACTGGTTCTAGCCAACCAGAACTACAAATGTTGCCAGGCAGAAGTTTTCACAAAAGGGTCCAAAACAGGCCAGGACAGTTTTTAGAAGCAGGAATTGAACTAAAAGGAAAATTAGACTAGGATTTGACGAGGGGGCACCCTTTCTGCTCACTGAGCCCATGCTGGGTCTGCAACTCACTGGGAGGCCTGAGCTCAGAGGGGGACCCATCTTCCCTCCCTGCAAATCGTGCCTCTAGAAGGAGGTCAGATGGTAGAATAAACTCAAACTTTGATATCAGACTAGTCCTGGGGTTCAAATTCTGGCTCCAATATTCAGTAGCTGCGATAACTTAAGTAAGTCACTTACTGATATGTCTCAACTTTCTCTTATGTAAAGATGGGAATAATAAAAGTACCCAACTTGGGCTTCCCTGGTGGCACGGTGGTTGAGAGTCCGCCTGCCGATGCAGGGGACACGGGTTCGTGCCCTGGTCTGGGAAGATCCCACATGCCGCGGAGCGGCTGGGCCCGTGAGCCATGGCCGCTGAGCCTGCACGTCCGGAGCCTGTGCTCCGCAATGGGAGAGGCCACAGCAGTGAGAGGCCCGCGTACCGCAAAAAAAAAAAAAAAGTACCCAACTCATAGGGTTTCTAAGAGAATTACGATTGAGTTTAGCATTTAGTTATATGTCTGGCACAAAATTAATCACAGTAATGACAAACAGTGACTGAAGATTGGTGACAGGTATACAGTGAATAGGAACTATTATCATAACTCCTGTCATAGTTATTATTACTACTACTGAGACCCAGAGAGAAACACTGATTTATACAAGTCATACATGACAGTAGCAGAACCTGGACCAGAATCCAGCCCTCATAAGAGTCGGCCCTCCTAGCCATGGGATTCCCCAGGATTTTCACAGGCTGTGAAAATGGTCTCTAAAGGTCTCTATCTAGTTACCTGTCCCACAGTATGCAGTTCCTCATGACACCTCTGAGAGTCTCTCCCAAACCCGTTTCTGCCTGGCAACAGCTAACATCACAACTGTAGGTCCCTGTCATTTGCGAATTATTTGGGGGAGCAGGGGCATTAGGGTAGCTGCATTCTAACCACGCCCTTTTTTTCAGGGGAACAGATGGATGAGGCCATCTTGGAGTTGGGAAGGGGTCCTCTGGATGGCTGTGCTGGCCCCTTGCTGCAAGGGAGAGGGGCACAGGCAGGGTACCACCCACATCAACCCACAGTCCCTTCTAGAAATTTAGCCAGAGACCCCCTCACCCCTTTTTGATCCCCCTCCAACATCTCTCATTCCCTCCTGTGATGGCAAAGGAGGTCTCCGTCTACTCTGCAGACACCTGCAACTATAATCCCCTTGATATAAACACATAGAGCAATTTATGGCAACTTGGAGGAAACTCCTCTATGATGAGCTGCTTCTACCAAATCTCTTTTAGAGAATCTACTTCTCCATCTAGGAGCCATACTAGTTTCAAAACCTGGTCCAAACTTTCTAACCTAGGCCTCGTGGCCCAGCTTCAGGGGACTCCTGATACGGTGTGAAGCTCTAGGGAAGGAGTCCAGAGCCCTCCTGATTTTCAGAAGAGAAGTGCATGATGCATAGAAAGTTAAAACCCCTGTCCTAGAGGAGCTCCCTCACTTCACAGGAGGGAGAACTGAAGCCCAGAGCGGGCTAGAGACTTGCTCAAAATCACCCAGTTAGCACTGGGGTCAGAGCCCGAGTCCATGCCTCCTCTGACTCCCGGTCTACTGCTCCTCCTGTAGCACCTGCGCACTCTGTGCGGTCCAAGGTCTGTGTGCTCTCTCCTGCCGTTCACACATACCTCTCCTGGGCTGCGGGGCGCTGGCCCAGCATGGGCATCTGCTCATGGTTGGAGATGAGGTCGCGTTGGTCTTCCATGGTTCCGGCCTCTGGTCTTCCCCACTCCTGCTGCTGCTGCTGCTGCTGCTGCTGCTGCTGCTGCTGCTGCTGCTGCTGCTGCTGCTGCTGCTGCTGCTGCTGCTGCTGCTGCTGCTGCTGCTGCTGCCTCCTGCCTGTCTGGGATGGTGAGCCCCTGGCTCACCTCTTGAAATTGGGGCTGAGAAGGAATCTGATTCGCCCACAGGAGGGCACTCCGCCCACCGAGCAGAAGTGGAAGTGAAAGCCACAAAGCTGGAAATACCCACCACTTGAGCAAAGCTGCCTTTAAGGGGGCAGGATGAGTAGGGGGAGGTCCCCCAGGCAGGTGGAAAGGCCAGCATGCTTCCACTGGCTGCCCAGGGCCCTCATCACTTGTTTCTGGGCAGACCTGTGGATTCATAAGGCTCTTTGGATGTTTTGAGAAACAGGCAAATGTTCACTCCCTAGACAGGAAATCACTTTGAAGCAAAAAATACGGAAAATGCTTTGTTTGTCTCCCCTCTCACCTATAGATGAGTGGGTGCAGAAAGGGGCTGTTCCCCCTTTGTGAACTTAGACAAATTCCTCTCCTTCTCTCAGTCCTCAGTTATGTCATCTCAAAATGGAGGAGGAAAGTTGGATTCACTGTTCCCTCCACTTTCTTCTAACTCAAGCATTTTATGAACCTGAGTCCACGGTTCTAAGGCTCTGGTACTAATATTTGCCACCACTCACCAAGCCCTCCTTTGTGCCAGGTACTGTGCTAATCGTTTTGCTTGCTTTGTTTCATTTAATCTTTACAGTAACCCTTTGAGGGCTGTTTTATTTTATTATTTCCATTTACAGATAGGGACACTGAGGCTTTTGAGAGGCTACATGTTTGCCCAGGATCGTGCATCCAGGAATTGCAGCCCATGATTTTAACCATTCTACCCTTCTGCCTCCTGGTGCTCAAATTGTGTCGTTCAAATTCATGAAAGCAGGGACCTCTACAGGGAGGGAATGAGGAGGGACTGGGAAAGGGTACCCAGGGGACGTTTAACTGTGTTGGCATGGCTTTATTTCTGACTATCTGTGGCTTGTAGACCATATTTTTTTTTTATTAATCTTTATGTCTTTTGTGTGTGTGTTTCAATTTTCCTTAATAAATTAACAAATTTATGGTATAAGTACATGAAAAGATGTTCCACATCATTAGTCGTTAGGAGGCAAATTGAGGCCACAGTGAAGTACCGCTTTACATCCACCACAATGGCTATAATCAAAAAGACACAAAACAAGTGTGGACGAGGATGTGAAAGAATTGGAACTCATATATTGCTGGCAAGAACATAAGCTGGTGCAGCTACTTTGGAAAACAACTGGGCAATTTCCCAAAAAGTTAAATACAGAGTTACATATGACCCAGTAATTCCCCTCCTAGATATCTACTCAAGAGAAATGAAAACATGTGTCCACACAAAAACTTCATAGTTTTTGCGTGGATACACAAATGTTCATAGCACCATTATTCATAATAGCCTCAAAGTGAAAACGACCCAAATATACACCAACTGATGAATGAGTAAACAAAATGTGATTTATCTGTACAATGGAATATTATTTAGCCATAAAGAAGAATTAATATCACAATAAAACTGTTATTTTTTAAAAAAGGAATGATTCATGCCACAAAATGAACTTTGAAAACATCATGCTGGGCTTCCCTGGTGGTGCAGTGGTTAAGAATCCGCCTGCCAATGCAGGGGACACGGGTTTGAGCCGTGGCCCAGGAAGATCCCATATGCCATGGTGCAACTAAGCCTGTGCACCACAACTACCGAGCCTGCGCTCTAGAGCCCGTGAGCCACAACTACTGAAGCCTGCATGCCACAACTACTGAAGCCTGCGTGCCACAACTACTGAAGCCCGCGTGCCTAGAGCCCATGCTCTGCAACAAGAGAAGCCACTGCAGTGAGAAGCCCATGCGCCGCAACTAGAGAAGGCCCGCATGCAGCAATGAAGGCCCAACGCAGCCAAAAATAATAAATTTATTTTAAAAAAAAAAGAAAAGAAAACATCATGCTAAGTGAAATAAGCCAGACACAAAAGGCCACATATTGTATGATTCCATCTATTTGAAATGTCTGGACTAGGCAAGCCGTAGAAACAGAAAGTAGATCAGCAGTTGCCAGGGGCTGGGGGGAAAAGGGGATGGGGAATGACTGCTAATGGGTATGGGATTTCCTTTCAGGGTGATGAAGATATTCTGGAATTAGATAGTGGTGATTGTTGCACAACTTTGTGGATATATGGAAAAGCCACTGAATTGTACCATTTTAAAAGCTTGACTATTACGTGAAATTTATAGCTCAATTTAAAAACAGATTTCTTGGTAATGATCGCTAGAACACATATATAGCTTTGCTTCCTCTTCCACTTGGCTCTGTCACTAAAATGGCAAAGAGTTGCCTTTTTTTTTTTTTTTTTTTTTTTTTTTTCGCGGGCCTTTCACTCCTGTGGCCTCTCCCGTTGCAGAGCACAGGTGGCTTTTTTTTTTTTTTTTTTTTTTTTTTAGTGTAAATCTATAAGGACAAAGAGAACAGGAGAAAACAGTGCAGAATTTTGGAAGCTGGAAAGCAGGTGGATTAGAGGTAGTCATTAACAGACCCCAGAAAGCTTAATCCTAAACCTGCAGCTAGAAAAGCTGAGAAGCCACCAATTTACATGATAGAACAGGCTCAGGAACTGAGGTATTAGGCACACTGGGTGGGAGTACAGGTGGGGCTAAAAAGGAGATTCGTTGGAAGTCTGTTTATGAAAACAGTTGTATATCCATGTCCTCTCCCTCCCCAACTATCCCTCCCTCCCTGAAAGAGGACTGGAAGTCTATCCCTAGGCACAGTGCAGGGCATGGGCCCAGTACTAAAGCTGAGAGTCCCAGCCTTCTCTCCGACCCAGTTCGCAGAATGCCAGAAGCCAGACCTTCTTTCTCCAGGCAATAAATGAGAGAAGGCTTCCCTGGAGAGCATGACCATCCCACAAGGAATGACCTAAAGATTCTGATATTGGGGTTCAACAATGAAACAACCCAGCCAGATAACCCTATAGGGAAGCCCTCAGTGAATAAGCCCTTCACATGGGTCATGGCTTCCACTTGATTTTTTAGACAATCAAGGGTCATGGGACATCTGAAGTAAACCTCTAACATAAAAGAGAGTGAACAAAACAACTAACCAAACCCCAAAAACCATGCAGGAAGCGAACAGTCATTAATAGCTTCAGGGAGATAAAGGATGATACTGCACCCATGAAACAAGAATAGGATGCTATAAAGATAGAAGTACTGTTAGAAGAAGAACAACAAAAAATCTCTCAAAGACTAAGAATATGAGAGTAGATATTAAACAACCAGTAGGTAAAAGATAAAGGTTTTGTGTGTATGTATGTGTGTGTGTGTTTTACCTCCCAGAAATAGGGAACAGAGAAAACAGAGGGGAAGAAATCAGTGAAAAAATTCAGTACAATTTCCAGAACTCAAAGACATAAATTTCCAAACTGAAAGGGCCCAGTGAGTACCAGGGACAAAGTATAAAAATAATTTCACACCAAGGCACATCAAGTGAAGTTTCAGAAAAATAAAGACAAAAAGAAAATTCCACAGAAAGAAATAAACAAGACAGATATAAAGGACCAGGAATCAGAATGACTTTGGACTTCTTAAGAGCAACCCTGGAAACCAGAAGATAATGGAGCAATGCCTTCAAAATTCTATGGGAAAATGATTTCCACCCTAGAATATTTACTGAGACAAATTACTAAATAGGTAGGAGGGTGTCATTAAGATATTTTCAGACGTTAGGTATCTCAAAAATTTTTTCTTCCTCAGAAAGCTTCAGGAAGGTATGCTCCACCAAAATGAAGGTGTTCACTAAAAATAAAGGAAGACCTGGGACACAGGAAACTGAAATTCAGCTCGCAAGAGGGAACGGGGATCCCCAGAATGATGACACAGCAAAATCCCAGGAGTAAAGTAACATATCCATATTGGATCAGGCCCAAAGGCTCTGAAAGACATTTCTTCAACAAGATAAAATTGATAGATAGCTGATAGGTCTGAACATACTAAGAGGTGATTTAGATCATTTTTTGGAGAGTATGAGGTTGAATTATGATAATTTCACAGAAAATTAAGCAAATGAAAAACCAAGACAACTATTAACTCTTGGGAAAACAAAAGTTACATAGGAAATGAATAGTCATGATACTATACTACATAGCGCAGCTATAAATGGCATTTACATTGTCATAATATAGTAAACTTTGAATACTGACCTAACTAAACATACAGTAGAGGCATATGGGAGGATGAGAGGTCAGGAAAAGTCACTTAGAGGAGAAAAGAGGGTTAAATCTTGGTCTTCCACAGTGAAAAGCCAACCAGATAATGTTTAAAACTGAAACAATCTGGAAGTAACAATACCAGTAGTCATTTAGAGATATGGAGGTTAATACCAAATGAATCGGCTAAAAACGTTTTAAAGTGGTGTGAAAAGGAAGGTAAAGAATTGCTGTTTTTCACAGCCAGCCCTTTAGAAGGATTTGATTATTTAAATATGTGAATTTATAACTTTGATATGAAGTAAAACTCCATTCAACATCAAAGTCAGTTGATTCTAAACTGACTGTGATAACAAAATGGTAGTCTAATGCCTTTTCCTTGTGAAGCAGCTTTAGGCCAAAGCTGAGGGTGACCCCAAGGGTCATCCTGTCCTCGCCCACAGGAGGCTGGAGACGATTCCAGCTAGGAGGGTGGGCTGGATGATGGCTCCCTCCTTTTCTTCTAGTAGGGCAAGAGGGCTCAGTTGTCACACAGGCCCTGCTGCCCAGTGGAGCAGCCCCATCCTACCCACCCTCCTGCATGGGATGGAGACAGAATGACAGGAAGAAGGAAGGCTTTGTATCTGCCTTGGTATCTGAGGGGTATCCAGGGTTAAGGCAGGATTCTGCTCCCCCACTGTTCGTATGAAGAAAGTCTGGCT